TTTTAGACAGGGGCTCCCTGTAGCCCAGCTGTCCTGGAACTATGTAGACCAGGCTGGCCTTGAACTCACAGAGATCCTCCTGCCTCTGCCTCCGAGAGCTGGGATTAAAGGCATGTGCTACCATGCCCGGCTACACAGATTTTTTTTTTAAAAAAACATAAACATTTGTAAGAGCTATAGTGGCAGCAGAACAGATGAATAAAAAAATAATAAAAGATAGCCGGGCATGGCGGTGCACGCCTTTAATCCCAGCAATTGGGAGGCAGAGTTAGGTGGATATTTGTGAGTTCCAGGACAGCTGGGGCTACAAGGATCCCCTGTCCAAAAAAAAAAAAAAAAAAAAAAAAAAACAACCAAAAAAAAAAACCATTTTGGTCGGGGAGCACACACAAACCATTGCAACCTCTTACTGGTTCTGCATATAAAATTAACAGCAGTTTAAAACAGAGTAAAATGAAGACTAAATCTAGAGGCTTCCTGTCATGAGCTTTTGACAGAGCCCTTTTCTCATATTTTTCCTTGTCCTAACTCCCCCAGGTGATCAGAGGTCAGAGTTTCCTTTGAGGTTCCGCACTCAGGATGCTTAATCTGCACTGGGCAGATTCGTGCGTGAGGGGCAGCGTCTGGAGGTTATGGCTGTGTTGTCCTGGATTCTGGGCTGGACCCTTAGCAGATTTGAAGAGCCTCTTAAGTAGGGTGGTAGGTGCTCTGATGAAAATAATGCTGTGAGTAGGTAGAGTGCTGAGGGAGGAAGGTGGTAGCTGGGTGGGCAGGGCAGAAGGAACCTAGACTGTGAAGGAAGCAGAGGAACACTGGGAGATTGGAAGTGGGGCATCTGTTCTGTCCCTTCTCTGCTGTCCTCTCCATCCATAGCTCCTGGCAGCCCCTAGTCCAGTGCCTTCTACCCTCCTGTGTAGATTGTGTAGGGGACACTAGTCACGTGTTAGCCTTGTAGATTGCTGACTTCTTAGAAGAACAATTTTCCGACAGATGGCGGTAAAGTTTATGAGGATAGGGTGCTTTGTTCTAATTAGTTCAAATGTACAAATTTCTTTTTCTTGATTTTCCTTTTTTTTTTTTAAGGCTGGGTCTCTTAAGACTATGTAGGCCATATGAGGCCTTGAACATAGAATTCTCGGCCTCAGCCTCTAGCATGCTGGAATAACAAGTGTGTGTTATCAGTCACGACTTTTTGAGGCAGAATCTCATGAAACCATCCAAAGATGACTTTGGACTCCAGAGCCTCCTGCCCCCATCTCCCAAGGGTTAGATTACAAGTGTGCACCACTATGCTCAACTGTATGTAGTACTGGGGATCGAACCTAGGACTTCGTGCTAAGCATATATTCTTCCCACTGAGTTGCATCCCCAGCCCACAACAGTGACTGTCTAGTTAATCCCCTTTTCCAGGGTCTCGTCTAGGCACACTCTTTTTTTCTTTTCTTTTTTTTGGGGGGGGGGGTCTTTTTGAGACAGGGTCTCCCTGTAACCCCAGCTGACCTGGAACTCACTATGTAGATCAGGCTAGCCTCGAACTCACAGAGATCTGTCTGCCACTGCCTCTGTTTCCTGAGTGCTGGGATTAAAGGCCTGGCCTGTCTTAATCTTAATGGTGTTGAAGAATATAAATTAGTTATTTTGAAGAATCTTTCTCCAGTTGAGTTTGTCTAGGTATTTCTCCTTAAATTCAAGATAATATGTTCCATAGAAGCAGTGTCATGTCCTTTTCACATGCTTTATATCCAGAGACACACGGCATCAGTTTGCTCCACCGTTGGTGATATTCAGCTCTAAGCATTCCATGTTGAAACTGCTGTCAACACAACATGTGCCTGGAACTCTAGCTGTGGGAATTTCTCCTCTTAGCACTGGTCTTACAGGAGGCGTTCTGTTCAGTTTTTAATTGAGTCTCAGTTCAGTCACATGAGCTGACTAGCACCATGGTTTCTCCATCTTTGCAGAGCTGCTCCCAAGAACTTGCTCCTGTCAGGAGTCACACTGCTATTCCTGTAAGTCACATCTGCCAGCCAGAGGCTCTGAACCAGCAATTAGTCCTTCTGTATGGTTGGAATAGTTTTAACGTTTTCCTGATTTTTTTTTTTTAAATTTTATGTGTATGCATGTATAGTATTGCCTGCATGTAGGTAAGTGCACCTGTGTCATGCAATGCCCTCAGAGGCCAGAAGAGGCTGTTAGATCCCCTGAGATGGACAGTTGTTAGTTGCCATGTGGGTGCTGGGATTCAAACCCGTGTCTTCTGCAAGAACAACCAGTGTTCTTAACTGCTGAGCCATCTCTCCAGCCCGCATTTTCCTGATTTTTAGAAAAGTAGATTTTGGCAAGGTTTAGTCTCAGAGAAATAGGTTCAGAGGAGCATGTTATAGCAGAACAGAGGGATGAGGGATGGGCTCAGGTTCATTTGATCTGAAGTCAATCTTTTAGACTAACCATATTTTGAATGTAAAGTTTAAGGCTGCACATAGTGGTGTATATCTGTAATTCTGGCACTTGGGAAGCTAAGGCAGGAGAATTACAAGTTACAAGCCAACACGTCTCAAAAAGAATTAAAAGAAAACAACACCCCCCCAATAAAATAAGTGCATTGCATGTTAATGATAATGTCCTGTACGTGCGTTAGCCATGTGTCCTCCTTGAAATGGCTTTAGAGTCGATGTTTTCTTCGCTTCACAGTTGAGAATGGCTTAGAAAGGCTAAATTATGGCTGGAGAGATGGCTCAGCGGTGAAGAGCACTGACTGCTTTTGCAGAGGACCTGGGTTCAGTTCTCAGCACCCACATGGCAACTAACAGCCATCTGTAACTCTAGTTCCAGGGGATCCCACACCCTCTTCTGACCTCCTTAGGCATTGCACGACACAGGTGTTCTTAACATACATGCCGACAATACACTCATACCCAGAAAATAATAAATAATATTTTTTTAGTGACCAAACACTCAAACTCTTGTCTCTCTGACTCCAAACACTTTGCTCTGTTTTGTAAGCAGAACAGCTAGGAAGGACAGCACAGTGAAGCTGGTGTTGTGCAGCATGACTCGGTTCCGACCCGCGGAAACTGCCAGGAAGTACCTGGATTGGGGAGTGGGGACGTGGATGAGGCAAGCGGCAAGAGAAATGGAGACAAGACAGGGCTCTCAAGTCTCATTTATTAAAGCACAAGCATGAGTTTAAATAGAGAATGAGAACAAAGGAGCAAAGACTGCAAATAATTACATCAGTCAGAACACAGGGGCCCAGATGTACTCTAAGGGAGGAATCTACTGATAACTAGAAAGGAGAACAAGGTTGTGGGCCAAGGTTGAAGCCAAGGTTGGAAGGTTGCTAGCTTAGGTCTGTCAGCAGTTTTGAGAAACGGCTGAGCCTCAGGCTCCCAACAGTGTTGAGTGCTGGCCTTCACACAGTGAAGTGCAGATGGCAACCTCTAGATTGGAGGGAGTTGCTGGCAGCTGCCCTTTAGCTTTTGAGGCATCACCTCAAAATCTGGGGTTTTTCCAGTTTGGTCATCATTGGTTGCCTGAAGTCATCCTGATATATATCCATTTCCTGGTATATTTATTAATAGTATTCAACTAACCTTTAAAAGTGTTGTGGTTTTGCAGGGCACAGTGATTCCTGCCTGTGGTCCCAGCCACTTGGGAAGTTGAGGCAAGTTCACTTGAGCCCTGGAGTTCTGAGGCAGTGTGGGCAAGATAGCAAAACCCAGTCTCTGAAATAGTAAAAATTAGCTGGACATGGTGGCACAGCCAGACACTGTGGCAGAAGGATAACACCAAGGGTAAGCTGGGTCATTGAAAAAGAACCCCGTCTCAGAAGAATTGAAAAGGACCAGGCGTGGTAGCACATGTGTTTAATCCCAGCACTCGGGAGGCAGAGGCAGGTGGATCTCTGTGAGTTCAAGGCCAGCCTTGTCTCCATAGCAAATCCAGGCCAGCTAGCGCTACAGGGAGACCCTGTCTCAAAAAGACCAAAAAAAAAAAAAAAAAAGAGCCAGGGTGCTGGAGAAACAGATGGCTCAGTCAGTAAACTGCTGGACTGGTTTGATCCCTAGAACCCACACTGAGAAGAAAGATGCTAGGTATAGTGTACAGGTTTGTAATCCTAGTGCTAGGGGGAGGGAGGGTGAAGACAGATCCCTGGGGCTCAGCTAGTCTGCTTAGTGGACTTCAGAACAGTGAGAGACCATGCCTCAAAAAAAGGTGGACAGCGACTGAGGTTGTTCTCTGGCCTCCACACCACACACATGAACACACACACAAATTAAGAGCAATTTTTAAAAATGTTTTTGAGGACCAGGGATGTAACTCAGGAGAGAACACTTAGCATTCGTGAAGCTATTGAGGTTTGATTACATAGTCCTACTCATAACGCTCCTGGGTCTCTTCTAATTAGGACAAAGACACGTTTCTTTGTAAGTAGAGATTGGCCTGTTATCACCACTTTCTTTCCTTGTACCCCAACCTGTGCTTTTCAGTTAGATCTGGTTTCAGTCACTGAGCTAACCAATTATAAGCATTATTTACTTTTACTTTGATGAATGGATAGGTAGATGGATGGGTTGATTGAGTTGCTGGTGTTGAACCCTGGGCTTGCTTAAGTGATTGTCCTGTCTCAGCCTCCTGAGTTCTTAGACTTCAGACACACACTGTCTAGCTTGCTTGCTCAACCAAGAGGTTGCTATCTTTGCTTTGTCATCCTTACCAGCCCCACTCTCACCCTTGTGGAACCCAGGTAAGCAGTCCACCACAGCATCCTGTCATCTTCTCTCCCAAAACAGTTTTAAGATCAATGATACTTTACCTGGGTGGACCCAGTAGCTAAAGTCAAGTCTGAGAATCTCTGGAGTGCACAGCTGTGGCTCTGGGCCAGTGGGCATTCCTCTGGTACACACAGCTCAGTCGGGCCAGTGGGCATTCCTCTGGTACACACAGCTCAGTCGGGGCAGTTTTAGCTTCTCTGACTTGGACTCCCTCTCTTTTGGCAGTTCGCGATCTGATTTTCTGGCGAGATGTGAAGAAGACTGGAGTTGTCTTTGGCACCACGCTGATCATGCTGCTCTCCCTGGCAGCTTTCAGTGTCATCAGTGTGGTTTCTTACCTCATCCTCGCTCTTCTCTCTGTTACCATCAGCTTCAGAGTCTACAAGTCTGTCATCCAAGCTGTGCAGAAGTCAGAAGAAGGCCATCCATTCAAGTAAGTTAAAGTGACATTTCACACTTCATGGAGGGGCTCGCTGAGACTGACCAGGTCTGAAATTCTGACCTGCCTCTTGCCACTGATTGACAGCAGTAACATCCTAAAGATTTCGCAGTCCCTCTAAGAAGTGACCAAATTCGGATGCGAAAGCTTTTGACCAGGTAGAGGCTCATACTTTACGGCCAAAGAAAACTGTAAATCTGAGCCGGGCAACCCTCAGATGCCATGTCCTTGTTTGAGCCCCTCTGGGTAAGGTCTAGAAACAGCTCTGCACTCCAGTGCCAACACCTGGACCTAGCATTGTTTGCTCAGCTTTATTTCTGATTTCCTTCTTAGCTCTCATGTTTCTAGACCGTGACTCCAGAAGCAAGTCTTAGTGAGGTCAGTACACCTGCCTCCTAGGGTCTCGCTCTCAATTGGCCTGATTGTGCTGTAGCTTTTAAAAATGCCCTCAAACTTTCTTCTTGAAATTCTTTGCTCATAAAAACTTGTAACTGAGCATTAGCAAATAGCAGTCTTTATAAAGCCTTTGTCTCATAGAGAAAGACCCTGCTGGGGCCTCTCTGGACTAGAGCAGAACAACCTCTGGCTCCCTGCTGGGCCTTGTACTTTCTGAAAATAGAAGGGATAACTTAAGTCATATGTGGCTTTAACAGTTTATTGCAAATTAATCTTAATAAGCCAGTAGTTGTTGAATGAATGAGTGAATAAATTTTACTGTTTTCAAACTCAGATGTCTGAATACCGTTCCCCCCTTTATGTGATTTTTGTAGAGTTGTAAAATGTTTTGCTAAATTACATTAATTGTAACATCTAATGTTTAAAATCTTTATATTTGATAATATTTTTTTCAAATTATTTTTATTTTATGTGTATGAGTGTTTTGGCTACATAATGTAAGTGCATTCATGTCATGCAGTGCCCACAGAGGCCAGAATAGAGCATTGAATCCCCTGACACTGGAGTTAATGGACAGGTAGTTGTTAGCCGCCATGTAGGTGCTCAGAACTGAACCTGGGTCTTCTGCAAGAGCAGCTAGTGCTCTTAACCACTGAGCTATCTCTCCAGCTCTGATAATGGTGGTGCTGTTTTGAGGCAGGTTCTCCCCTGTGGCCCCAGTTGGCTGGATCTCACGATGTAGACCAAACTGGCTTCCATCTCATAGAGATCCCCCTGCCCCTGCCTCTGCCTCTGCTTCTCATGTGCTGGGATTAAAGGCACATACTACCGTGCCCATCTTTGATAGTACTTTCTTAATAAACAGGAAGAAAAAACATGCCTGTTACTCTTCCATTTTCCCAGGGCTCCAAGATCTTCAAGACACCTAACAGACTGATACGCAGTAGTGAATGAACAAGTTAGGAGCACAGGGTTACATCGAAATTCTGAGACTGGGCATGGTGGTCTACATAGTGAGATCCAGCCAGCTGCCTCAAAACACCACCACCACTATCATCTTTAATCCCAGCACTTGAGAGGCAGAGGCAGATAGATTGCTACGAGTTACAAGCCAGCCTGGTCTACATACTGATTTCCAGGCTAGCCAGGACTACATAGTGAGACTGTATCTCAAATAATAAATAATAAATAAATCTATGCTGGGCGTGGTGGCGCACGCCTTTAGTCCTAGCACTTGGGAGGCAGAGGGAGGCAGATCTCTGTCTGCCAGCGTGGTCTACTTAGTGAGTTCCAGGCCAGGTAGGGCTATAGGGAGACCCTATCTCAAAAAGACCCAAAATAAGTAAATGAATATATATAAACAAATAAAAAATAAATCTCAATTCTATATTATCTCTGGAACTAGAACACAGAATTTGTTTTCTGTAGTTTTTCTTTTTTTAAGATCTTTTTTTATTTTATATTTATTAGTGTGTTGTGTGTGTGTGTGTGTGTGTGTGTGTGTGTGTGTGTGTGTGTGTGTTGCACACAGTGCCTGAGGAGGAGAAGACAGGCATTGGATTCCCTGGAACTGGAGTTACAGTCAATTGTGAGCAGCCATGTGGGTGCTGGGAAGCAAACCCAGGTACTCTGCAAGAACAGCTGGTGCGCTTAGCTGCTGAGCCGTCTCTCCAGAACCCCTCTGTAGTTTTCAGCCCATTCAAAGTCATTATCTCTGCTCTCTGTTTCTTCCTTTTTTTTTTGGTCTTTTTGAGACAGGGTCTCCCTGTAGCTCCAACTGTCCTGGAACTCGGGTCGTAGACCAGGCTGACCTCGAACTCACAGAGATCCACCTGCCTCTGCCTCTGCCTCTGCCTCCTGAGTGCTGGGATTAAAGGCGTGTGCCACCACGCCAGGCCCTTTTCTTTTAAAAAATATTGGTTTTTATTATTTGTGTTCGTGTGTGCATGTGTATGGTATGTATGTATGTATGTATGTATGTTGAATACCATGTATGTCCAGTCTCCCTTGGAGGCAAAGAGGGTGTTAGATATCCAGGAGCTTTTCTTCTGTTTTGTTTTTTAAATATTGGGTTAAAACCCAGGAGCTTGCAAATGCTATGCAAGTACTCTACCACTGACCTATATCCCCAACCCTGTTTGCGGTTTTTTTTTCCTCTTTTGGGGGACTTTTTGAGTTGGGTCTTAGCTGGTAAAGGCACTTGCTGTCAAGTCTGACAACCTGAGATCAGTTCCTAGGACCCACCTTGTATAACGTGATTTAAAGTTAAAAAGTAAAATAGGGGCTGGAGAGATGGCTCAGCGGTTAAGAGCACTGACTGCTCTTGCCGAGGACCTGGGTTCAATTCCCAGCACCCACATGGCAGGTATGAACTGCAGTTCCAGGGGAATCTGAAGCCCTCTTCTGACCTCTGAGGCATTGCATGACACAGGTACACTCACATACATGCAGGTAATACACTCGTACACATAAAAAAATAAAATAAAACATTAAAAAAAAAAAAAAGGCAGGTATGGTGGCACACGCTTTAATCCCAGCAGAGGCAGGCGGATCTCTGTGAGTTCAAGGCCAGCCTGGTCTACATAGTGAGTTCCAGGACAGCTGGGGCTCCTGGGAGACCCTGTTTCAAAAAAACCAAAAAAAAAAAAGTAAAATACTGTGGGGCTAGAGAGGTGGCTCAGTGGTTAAGAGCACTTAATGCTCTTTCAAAGGACCTGAGTTCCGTTACTAGAATCTACATGGTAGCTAACAACTATCCATAACTACAGTTCCAGGGATCTCATGCCCTTTTCTGACCTGTCAGCACTGCATGCATGTGGTATGGTATACTTACATTCATGCGGGCAGAACACTCATACGCATAAAAGAAATCAAAAAAAAATTTTATGTAATGTCTTTTGGAAAGCTAGGCATGGTACATGTTTGTAAATTCCCATACTAGGGAGGTGGAGACCGGGGATCCCTGGGGCTTACTGCCATCTGAGCTGCATTCCCAAAGAGTGCATTCTAATGTATCCAATCCAGACAATTCCTTTGGGCGGGTGGGGTGGGGGTGAGAAAAGATCTCCATGTAGCCCCAGCGGCCTGGAACTTGTAGACCAGGCTGGCCTCAAACACACACATCTGCCTCTGCGTCACTAGAGCTGGAATTAAGGGTGTGCGCCTGCATGCCCTGCTCCAGACAATTCTTTATTGTTATTGTACATGAAAGCCCTTACTTCACTATACTTCACAGGTATCTACCAGGTATTGCTTCTACCCACTAATGACAGTGGTGTCCTCACCCTGTAACAGGGAGAAAACATTCCCCTGCAGAATGCCATTTTACACTAAAGAGCTGCTGTGTTGACAGAATCTTCCCTTGTGAGTCAAAGAATGACTGTTGTTTCTTCTCTGCAAGAGCCTACCTGGATGTGGACATCACCCTGTCTTCAGAAGCTTTCCACAACTACATGAATGCCGCAATGGTGCACGTCAACAGAGCCCTGAAACTCATCATTCGTCTCTTTCTCGTAGAAGACCTGGTTGACTCCTTGAAGGTCAGTTGAAAGCAACTTTTGGTGGTGAGATTGGCCAACACCAGTGACAGGGCTGTGATTCAGAGGAAAAGCGGGCATAGGGTTTTAATTAGACAACAGCATGTGCTTATATCCGTCAACCTGTAAAAATGGAGGTAGGTGTCAACAGAGAAAGCTGTCGCCTCACCATAGAGAATAACATCAAGCCGCAGTAACAACTCAGCATCTGTGCAGTTACAAGTCTCCCTTTGGACCTAAGGTATTGACTGAGTTTTCTGACACATCCTCAGGTGAATAGTGCAGGTAGGGAATCCTTCCCGTTGCATCTGCTGTGTCATGCAGTGCTGTACCTAGTTAGCTGGGCGAAAAGGCACAGTTAACCTGGACTTTGCTTTCTCATTATTCCTGCTTAACCTGATGACGTTGGTCTTCACAGCTGGCTGTTTTCATGTGGCTGATGACTTATGTTGGTGCCGTTTTTAATGGAATCACCCTTCTGATTCTGGGTAAGGTGACAAGTTTGTAAGAATGAGTATAAATGCTGGGCCTAATGGTGCAGACCTGTGACCCCAGCTAGTTGGGAAGCTGAGGCAAGGGGAGCAAGTGTTCAAGACCATCCTAGGACACATGAGACCCTAAACAAAAAGGACTGGAGAGATGACTTAGCAGTTAAGAGCACCTGCTACTCTTGCAGAGGACCCAGAATTTGTTCCCAGCACCCAGATGGTGACACAACTGTCCATAACTTCAGTTCTGGGAGATCTGACACGGTCTTCTGACCTCCATCACCAGGCAAAAGGTAGTACACATACATACATGTGGGAAAACACTCATAAAATAAAAGTAAATAAAACTTTGAAGTCGGGCGTGGTGGCGCACACCTTTAATCCCAGCACTCGGGAGGCAGAGGCAGGCGGACCCTTGTGAGTTCAAGGCCAGCCTGGTCTGCATAGTGAGTTCAGGTCAGCTGGAACTACGGGAGACCCTGTCTCAAAAAGACAAAAAAAAAAAAAACTTTGAAAGGAAAAAACAACAAAGAATGTACTGAGGACATAGCCCAAGGGTAGAGCACTTGTTTGAAGAGCATGCTCAGGCCAGGGGTGCATACCTTTAATCCCAGCACTTGTGAGATAGAAGCAGTCAGATATCTGAGTTCGAGACTAGCATGGTCTACAAATTGAGTTCCAGAGCAGCTGGGGCTATACAGTGAAACCCTGTCTCAAAGAAGAACAAAACAAAAATTAAAGATAAAAAAATAACCGGGCGTGGTGGCGCACGCCTTTAATCCCAGCACTTGGGAGGCAGAGGCAGGCGGATCTCTGTGAGTTCAAGGCCAGCCTGGTCTACATAGTGAGTTCCAGGACAGCTGGGGCTACAGGGAAACCCTGTCTCAAAAAAGACCAAAAAAAAAAATGAAGAGAGCTGGGCATCATGGCGCACATCTTTAATCCCAGCACTTGAAAGGCAGAGGCAGGCGGATCTTTGTGAGTTCGAGGCCAGCCTGGTCTACATAGGAAGTTCCAGACCAGCTGGGGCTACAGGGAGACCCTGTCTGAAAAGACGAAAAAAAACAGATATGCAGCATGACATCCACTGACGTTGCACGTCAGCCTGCAGTGCCTACAAGGTGTGTGCTAGATATCGGACAGACAGTGTATGTTCATCTGGTTATTAAATGGCCTCACAAAGGACTTTCAAAATGGGAATAAAAGAGGGTGATTTGGATTTGATTTAAATATAGGGATCTTACTTTTAGAAACCAGTTTTGTAGTTTCAAAATCAATGCCTGTAGTACAAAGAAAGCAGTCTATTTGGGTTTTAGCACTTACCCTAGTTGGCTTTCTTCCGACTGTCCTTGTTGGGAACTCTAGCCAGTATTTCATTTTGACTATTTATCTCTGTGGGTGACTTGAGTCTGGAAACTTCATGAGTGTCTCACATGGATGAATTCCATGTCTCTTGATTATGTCTTCCAGCTGAGCTGCTCATTTTCAGCGTCCCCATTGTCTACGAGAAGTACAAGGTAGGTGTTTGCCCTGAAGCAGCTATGCTGGTTAAAGTATGACGGCCTTTAGTTCATTTTACTTGAGGTGTCTGTGAGAGACTATGACAGTCCTGTCCTCCAGCAAGAACAGCTGGACCTAGGGTAGAAGTGAGTAGCAGAGACTTTTAGCACCTTGTGTACCTTTTGAGGTTCTGTTGCAGGCATTAATTATGTATTTAGTCTCAAAAAAGTAAGTCAAAAAGAAAATGCTTTATGAATAAAATGAGTATCTAAAAAACTGTGCACCTTTAAGAAAATCATTATCATTACTGTGACTAGGTGTTTGCATTTCTGGATGATATGTGTAGAATATGCTAGAAGTCATTCTAGTGTGGATTAAACCATCAGAAGACTTTTGGAAACCTGGCTTGGTGGCACATACCTTTAGTCCCATCACTCAGGAGGCAGAGGCAGATGGATCTCTGAGTTCAAGGCCAGCCTGGTCTACAAAGTGAGTTCCAGGTCAGCTAGGGCTACAGGGACACCCTGTCTCAAAAAGATCAAAAAAATTAATAATTTTTTAAAAATGACTTTTGGGAGGGGCTAGAGACATGGCTCAGAGGTTAAAAGCACTGGATGCTCTTGCAGAGGACCCAGGTTCAAATCCCAGCGCCCACATGGTGGCTAACAACCATCCATAACTCTAGTTCCAGAGGATTTGACCCCCTCTTCTGACGAGCACTGCACGGCATGGGTGCACTTACATAAATGCAGGCAATACACTGATACATACAAAAATAAATAATTTTTAATTTTTTTTTTAAATACTATTGGGAGTGCTGGGGAAATCTGACTGAGTGGATAAAATGCTTGTCACACAAGCCTGAGGACCTGAGTTTGGACCCCTCAGAACCCACATAAAAATGCCTACTGGTCCAGACGTGGTGGCACATGCCTTTAATCCTAGCACTCAGGAGGCAGAGGCAGGTCGATCTCTGTGAGTTCAAGACCAGCCTGGTCTATATAGTGAATCCAGGACAGCTAGGGCTACAGGGAGACCCTGTCTCAAAAAGACAAAAAAAAAAAAAAAGCCTACTGTGGCAACGTATGTCAGCCCTGGGGAAGTGGAGACAGGAGGATCCCTGAGGCTTCCTGGGCAGCCAATGTAACCAAATTGGTGAGCTCTTGGTTCAGTGAGAGACCCTATCTCAAAAAATAAGGGAGTAGCTTAGTTGATAGAGTACTTGCCTGGCATTCACAAGGCCCTGGGTTTAGAGCCCCAGCATCACATATATTGAGTGTGGTAACATAGTAGTGTAACCCTAGCACATAGGAGATGGAGGCTGTCCCAAGTTCAAGATTATCATTGACTACATAGTGAGCTGGAGGCCAGTTTAGGCTAC